GGTAAGGTCAATATGGGGGTTTAAATATATAATTTATCAACGTGATTTAAAAATTGATCAAATTTTGTTTTTAAAACAGGTTTACTACTATCGAAAAACAACGGAGCACCAAGCAGGTAAAGCGATTCCGAATTGACAGTTTTTTATTCCTGGAGAAATCTGATTGAAAAAATTTTTGAAGAATTAAGTTATCTGTGTAAGAATTAGATAAATTATTAGAAAAAAATATTTCACATATATTTATATTTGGTTCAAGACCAATATTTTTAAAATTTTGAAAAATATGAGTAAGATCATTGAAGACGTCATCTGCTTTACCTCCCAGTGTACCGTCGTCCAGATACCAGACATTCAGCTTGGATTTTAAATTTGAAATAATAGGTTGAATTCCCAAACTGAAAAATGCTGGACCTAATGGACCACCCTGTTGAACACCGACAGCAGACTCAATAATATGGTTTTGATAAAACAAGTTTGAATTTTGACTGTTACATTGCCAAACGTAATGATATATTTCGGGGTTATTGTTAGCCACTTCTTTCAGCAGGGTTATCCTGTGAATAGAGTTAAAAGCATTTCTAAGATCAACCTTCAGAAGAACATTTGCATTGGAATTAATTAAGAAAGTACGCACCGAATGTACCGCTGCCTCACAGCCCCCTTTGGTGCCAAAGCCTAGTTGAGTAAGTTGAAATTTTGTCTTAAGGTTTGAGATTATGTGCCTGCAAGTTAAGTTTGAAGTTAAGCGTCGAAATGTAGAACCAACAGCAATAGGACGGATACCGTTATCCTTTTTTTTGAAGGCACACAAACTTGCCCCATATAAGTAGGGAATGAAATTGGGATTGATATTATCAGAAACCATAAAATTACATAATTAAAACGCACGCATGCACGTACGCACGCACGCACATATATATATATATATATATATATGTGTCTTAATTTTAATTACTGATTCAATTTTGTAAAAACTAGTTTTATTTTAAAAGGACTACATGCTGTACAGCCGTTTAGAAGTGTAGTCTAAAGTCACCGAAATTTGAAGTTGTTTTTCGACAGAAATGTGCCAATACTTTAAGAGTAAGATAAAATATCGGTTTTGTTTTCACTCCTACAGTCTGTTTTTGAAAACTTGAAAAAGAAATGAAAAACAGACGTGTTGTCTGTTACTCTTTATTAACACAGTAGTTAATGCGATAGGTGCACTGTGTACGAAATGGGCCTTTAATAAGAAAACGCACTACTTTTTAAGTTTGCTAACCCTTTTGGAAAGTTCGTTCTCTCTGTTGTAAGCTTATTTATGAAAACAGATGTTCTTGAAAAGAATAAGTAAAATTTTTAGTAAAATTTTAATGTTCCTTTCCGTAATGATACTGAAGAATTCTACTTTAGTCTTTTGTTTTCCAAGAAAATATCTAAAGCCTTGTACTTAATACGAAAATTTGGTACATTAAACTTTTAAGATAAACCCACATAATATTCATAATGAAGAGCGGACGTTCATAAATTGTAAAGCTGGCGCTCAATGTCTCATTTTTAAAGGTTATTTTTTTCCCTATCCAACGTTATCTCATTTAGTAGTTATTGCTTAAGATCTCGCTAAAATATGATCGTTATCTTTGATTTTTAATTTTGAAGGGGTCATCAGATATCGTTAAAAAATTAAAGATACGTAAGTCGGCAAAAAACAAAAAATTTAATGTACCGTGTAGTGGCGATGTAAGAATATTCAATACCCAATGTCATCCCGGGGTTTTCGTAAAAGGCGACAGAGGGAGGAAACTGAAATTGGAAATGAGCAGTTACATCTTCCTAATAATAACTCAAAAAAAACAACGGTAGCCAATCCACCTGACGTGGCGTGCGTGGTAACTATGGCATTTTTTTTATAGGATAGGGTGACAAACGAGCACACAGTCCACCTGATGGTAAGTGGTTGCTGTAGCCCATAGACATCCACATCCATCCTCGACTATGAATCAAAACGCAGATGCGCTTTCACCCATGAGAACTAAGATGGAATGCCTCGTTTCCAGCAAAAAGGGTCTCCGGTTCTCTACACTCACCATACGAAATACAGCAGCATTAAGCTGCTATTCCACGCTGGTATTCTGTGAGAGCGAAGAGTGGTCCTTCCCCGGTCGAGCCGACCCATTCGTGCTACAACTATACTACTAATATAACTGCAGCATGGCTCTACCACGTATAGATCCCACTCTTGAGGCTATCTATGGGAATAGCCAATGTTCAACAGTGCAATATTATACGTTGTGATGAAAATGTTGCCGTGGTCGTTCGTTTAAAATATTATTCACAACGTTAAGCTCAAAATAACAAAGTTTCATTTTCTAACAGCAGAACTGTTGTAGTTTGTACGGTTTTTTTTTCTTCATTTAAATTATAATAAGCAATGTTTTTATATTATATTCCTAGCAGTGTCCGTGCACTTAGATCGCGTGAAATCAGTACTTTTGCTGTTTTTTAAGTGATGATGATTTATTTGTAAACTAAACTGCCGCGAAGACTTACGAGTAGGAAGACACTAATCTGATTAAAAACATTCAGTTAATCGGTCAATCAGACAAACAAATGAACAAATAATTGAACGAACCCACAAACGAACCAAAAAACGAATAGGATAAACTGTACGCTTGTGTTTTTATTTGGGTAGTAATAAAATCCAAAATAATCCAAATCCAACAAATAAAATAAGAATTGTCCTTACTTAAAATATGAAATCTACTGCCTCAAATACTAACTTTCCGACTACTTTTGTCCGAATAAAAATGACGAAACGACCAAATGAAATACTGAAATCTTTGAAAATTAAATATTAACCTTTAGTGCTATAATACTTTTCTACCAGCTTAAATTAGGTTTTACTGACTTGTAATTTTTATCTGTACTTACATACTATTTATATATAAATTACCTTCCATATTTCATAGAATTTGGTGCTATTTTAACTACAACGTTATACTGAAAATACTATTCTGAGTGGTTATACAGAAACTTATAAAAAATATAAAAATGTATTTGTAATCATATTACCTTTTACTTATCATGAATTATACTTACCACAGGTATGCTTCGATATCAGTACTTACTTCAGCCCCCATAATATGACCATTGAAACACGATATGATAAAGCGATTTATCGCTATGAACTGTCAAAATACAATGGAATTTTGAAAGTTCAAAGCGATAAATCGCTTTATTATATTATCGTGTTTAAGTGGCCGTGCTACTAGGGCAGGCGTTAAAAATAGAACGAACACAAGAAAGAAACAACAGAAAGAACAGTCATATAGATAAATCTAAACCCAGGTGGATTTTGGGTTCCTACAATATTTTAATATTATCCTGTTTTTTTTTAATCGACAAATTCCCTTGTTTTTATAATGTTAGCGAGAAAAGAGATAAAAATAAAACAAAATTCAGTTCATTATAAAAATATTGTTTGATAGGTAGTACAAAATGTCATACATAACTGTACTTATGAACTAAATAGGGAGGTAAGTAGTTAGTTGTCAGTATCTTAATTATCTTCATTGTATTATAAGAGCGGGTCTGGATTTAGTAGGACGACACCGTTTCCTTTTTTGTCCTATAGGTAGTGCTTTCGCTTCTATAGGTGGAGTCGCGAGCTTCAATCTAATAGCGAGCCCTAGAAGGTGTTTACAAACGTATTTTTTATGAAACTGTGGACAAGTGCAGGATCCTTTTCTCCATTCTACATTCTGTGTTTCGATTTTAGGCACTATGACTTTCCAGAAAGAAAAATGTTTCATCTTGTAATGTTCAAAGTTTAACCACTGCTCACCGTACGACACCTCTCCTAACTGGCTACTACTACTACTTGGGATCAAGTATTCAGTGTATGCCGTGTTGGATGATAAAATCTTTATTCTTAAATCTTTCCTTGTCCAGCAATACCCATCGGTCCAGTACTTCAGCTCAATAGTAGCTGTTTCAGGTAAAGGTTCTTTGAAGCTTTGTAAAGACCACTGAGCAACCATGTCAATGGCAATGGTCAAGAAATGTGAAAGTGGAAGAAACGGGTGAACACGGCGCTGCGCCTAAAACTAATTTGGATGTTTCTTTAACCATTCTTCTTTAAAGTAATGAATGAACTCGGTTTGAGTCTGCCATTTTTCAACAAAAGCCTGTGATGCAGCATTCAATACTTCATATTGTTACGCGCTAAAGTCGACGATACACTAGCGCCATCTAGTGTCAGGAACGAGAGCGAGGGGAGCTTTGCAGTGAATGACATCACAACCGACAGCGCCATCCGAAGAAACTAAGTTTCTAGAAAATCTATACTCGGACTCTCGGTGCCTTACGCGTGTTTGCTTGAACATTCTGGATATTTGCTAGTTTAAATAAGTAGGCGCTGCAAGGTGCGATCGAGTTAGTGTTGATTTGGGCGAAACAAGCGAAGCTCCGGAGTGGAATTAAGTGAATTAGTGTGTTTAAATTATTTGGATGTTTTAACTTTAACCATTGTGTAAAGTAAATTAAAGTGTTAATTTAGGTAATTTTATCGGCCATTTTTATTGTCACAAACCTGCAAGCTTCGTAACAATATGATGTAGCATTATATAGTGCGTCTATGTCTTGTATGATTTCTTTCTGTTTCGTTTTATTGTTGACAGTTTTCTGAACTTTTTGGTGCATATTTTTCTTCGCATGAGCCCAGCACGTACGAAAAACTGGTGTGGTACCAAAAACTGCGATGAAAGCATTTCTTATACTCTGAGCAGCGTCACAAACTAAAACTTTAGGTTGCATCACGTGATCAAATAAAGACAGAACCTTTTCTTTAAGGCCATCAAAAATCATTTGAAAATCTTCTTGACGTTCATTTGTGGACACACCAAGACAAAGTGGATGGAATTTGCGGTTCTTATCAGTGGTACCAAGAACTAAAACGGGGAACCCTTGCCATATGAGTTTGTATGTGGCGTCTATGTGCAGTATGTCCGTGGAACAAACTATGTTGAGTAATTTTTAGTTGACAATGCCAGACGAAAACTTGGTTCTTCCGCTTCTATAACGTGATAGCTGAACACCAAAACTTCATTTTCATCATCGGGAATAGTTGTTCGATTGAAAATCCATTTTTCAAGTTCACCTAAGTAAATTGCAGCTCTTCCGAACTTCTCGCGCCTTCTGTCATATAAGTAATTGTTAAGTTGCCATTTTGAAGGCGCCTTTATCCCTGTCATGTTGTTTACAGCCTCCATTATAGCTTTTTGCTTTAGGCGTAAATCAAACAGCTTATTTATTTCTCTTTTAACGTTTTACGGAATTCCGTACTCACTTTGCGTACCAATCTGGTCATGGTTGTGCTCTGAAGTGGTCTTAAAAATAAGAATATCATTACAGTCGTTCACAAACAATAAATACAACGCACAATAACACTGTGGCCCCTTGGATTTTACCTTGTTACAACGATAGAAACTTTTTGGCCTTCATCACTGTCCCGAGTATAATTTAGTTGATAGAATCAGGCGTTACTTTGCGGAAATCCATTATAATAAAAAATAAAAATATAAATTTCTTCGCAACCCTCCGCCAAACAAATACAATGATGTGTATTGAAGAGAACCTCCCTCCTCCTTGACCTGGATTGAAGAGCACCTCCCGCCCTCCCTCAATTGCATGCACTAACTCTAACCGCTAAGCGGTCAGCCGTCGTAGAGTACATTACCTGAAGATGCCTCGTGTAGAGGCGAAACACGTGTCGTATTATCGTCGATGGTGTGTCTTGCCTGGAATAGTGGTGTTGGGAGTAGTGGTGCTGGGATTAGTGGTGACGGAGTAGTGCATGCAATTAAGGGAGGACGGGAGGTGCTCTTCAATCCAGGTAAGACACATCATTGTATTTGTTTGGCGGAAGGTTGCGAAGAAATTTATATTTTTATTTTTTACCGAGTATAATTTCTTGACCAAGTCTTTTCATTACTCAAAAATGTCTCTGCTTCTTATATATTATAGCACCGTTTGATCAACACCCAACTTTTGTTACGACGATTCTTCTTCGACGGTACCGATGGACCAGCTCCCTCTTCTTCCTCCTCCGACTCAAAACGGTACATCACACAGGTACATCATCCATATTTCACAACAATACTAAGTTTCCTTAATAGATACTAAGTTAGTAGTTACTTAAGTAGATTTATTAGTTTTTTGACATCATAATATTAAACCAATAGCAGCAAAAACTATTTAATTTCATAACTTATACAAACAAAACACGCAAGGATCGGTCGTTGCAAGCGCACTGCGCTCGGAACATCCATCCGACCTCGCGAAAACAGCCGAACGCGACCCGAACCCGATCGCGCGGGACAAACAGTTGAGGTATTTTTATCATTATTGAGAGTTACAAATATATTTGATAACCAACAATAGAAATTATAATAGTTCATGCAAGTCGTAAAAATATGATTATTTTGTCAAAACCTTTGTTGTCGGTAATTTGAAACAAAGACTCGATTTAAAACTAAGATATGCTTCACAATTTTCTAAACAATTATTTTGTTATAAACCAGCATTTTATACATGATAAGTTAACAAAAAGATAGACAACAGATAATTCCAAAAATGATAGAAATGTATTAAATTACTTATTCTAGTCCCACTCAATCAATTATTTTTACAAAAATATAAAATGTAGAGACATCTGCTATTTACATTTTTACTATATGTATTGACACATAGGTTAACTATTATAAATATTTTGTGCAGCCTTTGTATCATAAAAAAAATACTTATTTATAGACGGTCCTTATATATTTTCTGAGACATTGTTATAAAATTATTGCGCCATGAATAAAATAATGACTTTGTGGAGTCGAGTAATTGCAGCTTGTGTTTGTTTCTAGAGTTTACAGAGTCCAAAATCTCATTCATTAAAACTACTTTTGTATCCACTAAATTATTACAGTCAAATCAAAGTCTACTGCTGAACAAAAGGTTTTGCCTTAGTTACCAGGCTTGGTAGGCAATTTGGCAACTACAGCATTTTATTTATTTCATTTGTTAACAGGAAGTTGCTTTTAGCAATTCGTTACGGTTTCCCACTTTCGCTTTTTACGACACACGCTTTGGAGTGATATTTATATGTAGGATATTCTCATGTTGTGTACACATAGTACATTTTTAAATATGCTGGCTAACCAAAGTGAGTATTTTATATTCTGAGAGACCGTTGGATTAGGCTATAAATTGATGTCATGTCCCTCTACTGTAAAAAAATATTTTCCGAGTCAGTCATGTTTCTTGAAATTAAAATTTATGCGACATACATCATCATCATCATAACACCTCATCACAGTGACCTGAACAAGACTCAATTCTGCCCCATTTACAAATGCATTTGTATTCAGGTTTGAGATTTCCGATACAGCCGTTACTGAACATAAACCTCCCCCACAGATTGCCTCGTAGGGAGCATATTTCCCATAGTTGCCACGCTTGGCAAACCGGGTTTGCAAGCGCAGTTCTCCAAATTTTATTTTTATAATAAGTAACATGAAAACATTTTAATATCGATTGCTATAGGTCTAAATCAATATTCGATACAAAATATTAAGAAAGTCTATAAACTATAGATATCGTACATATACGACTGTCATTACGCTCGATGTTTATAAAAAATGTGATGGTTACACACAGCTATGAAATATAGAATATATAATAATTTAAATATATTCACAAACAGTTCTATTATGTATACAGCTACCGTTTTCGTTACAGCTAATATAACAATTCACTGCTGTACATACCCATAGATTGCATCTTAGGGGGATATTTACCAGAGGTGCGACGCTTAGCAGGCGGGTTTGTTATTAGAAAGTTGCTGCCACTCTTCTGATTTGGTTTCCTCTGTCCTTTCTACACACCCACTTAAGAGATATTCTTACACCGACATTACACGATGTTGATATGTGATTATATAAATTTTGTTCTTTACTTAAGTAAGTAAATTCGTGCTGCATTTACTCATGTAGTAATAAATATTTAAATTTTGGGGTTAATTCTTCATTTTCCCCCCGTGTTTTGTTTTACTTAGGCCGTTTCTTAATTGTACGAATGGTCATAGAAATAACTTTAAACATTTTATTTTAAAAGTTTTCTTTTGCTTAGTTTATTACAATATTTACTTTACTAGTATTTTACAGTTTATACCCATGTTATGATCTATCCTGTTACTCTCCTACAAAAAAAAATTCGTGGTAGAGGACGCCTTGCAGCGTTAAGTCCTTCTTTATGTTTTATATGCAACGAAGTTAAAATAAATTAATAATAAGACAGTGACTTCATTATTCGATATACTTCGTCTTAGCAACACTTTCAGAAGCCATTAAATTATGTTGATATATTTTTTTGTTTCTAGTTTTTCGAAATTAGAATTTATTTTTAATTGTTATTTTGGAGTCAATTGGTGTAGATTTTTACTTTTTTGAGAAATGTTCTTTTAGAAATATTTATATAAGCCTATAAGATAAAACAGCATAATTATGACATTGTATCTTACGCTGGTTTAGCGTAACGCGAGCTATTTCCAGAATATTCGTGCTATTACTAATGGTAGTTATAAGTCACGTCAAATATAAGCAGTTGTCGCTAGCCGCTCTTTATCTTAAGTCAGTTTACGTTATAATAATTTAGTTTGAAGCAATGTATGAATTGTTTTGCGGACCGATACGACTTAGGGATCTTCAAGAAAAGGGCTTACTCCGTTCTCAAAGGCCGGCAACGCCCCTGCAATTCCCCGTGTATCGCGGTTGTTCATGGGCGGCGGTAATCACTTACCATCGGTGAGCAGCAGGCTCTTATGCCCCTTCTTCTATAAAAAAAAAGAAAAAAAGTAATATTTTTGTTGTGTGATGTGGTAGCTGCATACGAAAATCCATCACCTCATTTCATTTTTTGTATGGTAAAAGCAACAAACGTTTGTTACTCTTACCCTACAAAAAATGAAACTATGGGTACGCGTGCGTGTGTGTAATTTACTTGATGTTAAGAGATTGCTATAGCCCATAAACATTTACATTTACTCTACTGGAATGCCTTGTTTCCAGGAAAAAGATTCTATGCTTTCACTCGCCACATGAAACACAGCAGCATTAAGCCAGACGACAAATGCCTTCTAAATTTTAAGCTGGTGTACTGTAAGAGCTTTGTCTTTTCCCGGTCGAGTCGACCCATTTATGCTACTACTATAATATGGCTACTGTATAATTCTACCACTTATAAATGTGTATTCATTACATGTCGTAAGATATTATGCTTATGGCATCCGATGCATATAGCTATCCTTTTTACACCAGATAAAAAGGTATAAGATAGAGACCGGCGACGAGGAGCAGTGTCAATAGTGTGAGACGTCAGGGTTTTCGATTGTCGTTCCAACTGCCAAGCGTGACGACTAAGGCAACAGGATGGCAACAAACGAAAGAGGTTTACGGCCTGGTAAAGAAGTGAGCTATCAATGATGCTTATGATTCTGGTCAGATTACGCCTTCGTCATCATTATAGTCCTTTACAAGTCTACTGTTGTACATAGTCTCCTCCAAGGAATGTCATAAAGCACGGTCCTGATAAACCCACGTACATCGACTTGCTGCATGTCTTACCAGGTCGTCACTCCATCTGGCGAAGAGTCGCTCTATATTTCACCTACGGATGCGAGGCTGCCTCTCGAGAATCTTTCTTCTTCATCGTTTATCGGTTCTTCGAAATATACGGTCGGCCCATTGTCCCTTCAGTCTAATAATCCGTTTACATGTCTGCTTTATAATATGATTATTTATATTATATACGTTCATACTTGATTCATTTTGTCAGTGTGTCAATGTCCTGAAATCTCTATAAGTCACATTGGCTCCCGCTGATCATTAGTTTTAGTCAGTTTTTTAACAGTGATATTTTCTATTTTCGGTTCACATTGTAGTAAAGCAGGTGGATAAATATTTTCCCTAGGCACTGTGAAGCCGCAGGATTCAGTTAGGATCCTGCATGGAGAAAATGTTTGTTTGATTTACGAAACAAATTATTCAAGATTTTGTTGCACGTCTAATTCAAGATTTCGCTGCACGTCTAACGTCTATGTGCAAATTCCCTATGTAAGGTGACAATAACACAGGAAAAAGTCATTTCATTGGGGTAACATATTCGTGTAAGTAAACCAAAAAAGATATTTTTTTATTCTATTTCATCATAGCTAGCCACCTGA